AATTTTTTGGTATAAGTCAAATTTGAACTGCAAGTGATTCAAATAATAGAATAAAATGAGTAGAAAAATGGTATTCATGTTATTGAGTCCGGTGTGAGGCCTTACCCAAGAAATGAAAAGAAATTTTGAACATCTTGTTCAGGAAACACGACCACAAACGTGTGGTCGAATGGTTTTTAAATTCTAAAAAAACAAACAAAGTCTGAAAATCATGAGATTTGTCAAGATCTCATGATATCATGTGTGGAGGCCATGGTAAAAATTTGAGAAGGTTTCACATAATCTGTCACGTACTATGTTTACAAACCGAAGTATCTCAGAAGAAGAATCGTAGTATTGCCAAAGGGCGCCTAGCTCAAATGGTTAGGTGACCCAGCGGCACTCCTTAGGTACTGGGTTCATCTCCCGTGGGAGCGAATTTCAGAATGAGGTTAAAAAAATCCCCCATAACCAAAGCACTGGGGGGCACTGGCCCAATTCTCACTTGGGCGATGGAAAACCACCGTGTAAGAGTGGGGGCGGGGGTTCGGGGGGTTTCTCGACCGGGTGAGAAGGTCCTTTTTTTTATTTAAAATGCTGCGGAGGCAGTCTTAACCCCCGGTCGAGTTTTTTAAGAATCGTAGTGTTGAGAAGGAAGTGACGGTCTAATTGGGGTTTGACTTTAAAATTTTTTGTATAGGCAATAGAGAATATAGATTGATTCATGTATAATTTTGGTAATTTTTTGAATTCGTTTGATAATTTTAATTTATTAAATGTAATTATAGAATTTTAATTGATATAAATTGGATTTGAGCTATAACTGCATGAAATAATAGAATAATATTCCTAGAAAAAACAAATATATATTGTTTAGTGAATTTGAGAAGGTGTTTTCAAAGTATATTAGAATAAATTGAGGAATACACGTTATGGAAAAGAAGGAAAATGAAAAAAAAAAGTTTACGAAGTTTGTCGAGTGTCCCTGAGATGGCACTCGGCAAACATGGGGTTTGCCGAGTGTCAGACCTAGGACACTCGGCAACCCGCTTCACGAGGCCCCACACACGTGCAATAGTTTAGGATTTGAAAATGAAAAAAAACGGGTTTACCGAGTGCCCGCGATCTAGCACTCGGTAAACCCACTGTTTCCGGTAGTGAAGAAAGTCCAAAGGAAGTCGAGGTAGGCTAGCTACGTTTGAAACCCACATGAGCCACCCACAGAAAGGAAAAAAATGAGAAAAATAAAAGTAATAAAAAAGATATATATATTTAAGGCATCATAGCGTCATTTTATTAGGGGATTGTAGGACACAATCACACAAGTGATTTGGATTTTTTTTCTCTTTTTTGGATGTAGAATACACATACTTTTTGGTAATAGGTGAGAGGATTTGTTTGTGTATTTCGTGTTGGTACTGCATATATATTTCCAAAAAGAATTGTGTACTTCTGTTATATATTCTCTGTACTTTTCTATTTCTCTGTGCTGCAATAATTGGTACTGTTTTCTTGTGGTGGATCAATTATTAAGATTCTCGTTATCCTATGAATTAATTATACCCCATGAAGGGCTCTCTCACATCCATGACGTGATGCAACTCCGATGAGTTACATCTCATGGCCTGTTTGCTCGAAGGTCTTGATGCAACAAATTATATCTCCTCCTGTAACCAGATGTACTTTGTTTTACTGTAATATGATTAGTATTGAACATTGATAATTTAATCTTGTATTGTGTTTTCCTTGTATCAGAATCTCCTTTTGCAGCGAAAGGCCACTTCTATTCTCAATTGCCACATAGCAATTTGAGCATGTTTATTCCTTATTTGTGCAAAAGAATTGCTTGGCCATGTTACACATGAGGCTTTTCTAATTTCCTCAGGATGGATCACAACTTAACTTTGCAGCATTGTTTGCATGCTGCCAGTTGTCTCTGAACTATATGATGCCGCAGTCATCAGCTTGGCAGATCATGCTGGATGCTTCAAGTCCACAGTAACATTGTTGACTTGAATAAATTATTGACCCCAAACATTAAATATGTTACATGTAGTGTGCATGTATAGTGTTTGGGCTATGTCAACCTAATAAGATTTTGAAGATCTGTTGACGTGTCAAAACACTAATAATGCTTGATCTGAACTCTTCTTTCTTGGACCCTGAACGAAGACCTATGTAAGTGCCATCTGGCTGCTGAAAGATATGATTCTGACTTCTGAAAGATATGTTGTGTGATACATAATATATACTTTTGTTTTTAATATAAGTCAACACAGGATGCGACCTTGGAGTTGAAGAATCCCCATCTACGGTGTATGTCCTCCTCTCATTTGAAACCCATATATTTGGTATGTGATATATCCATTTTCTGTGGTGGTTGTTTCAGGTTCATGAAACTGTACCATTTAGAATGCATATGGTTCATGAAATTCATCAATTAGCCCTGCAGTGAAGAAGGGAATGTTTCAGAACACATTGCATTGGATCTCAACCTGAACTGAACCTTTGGAACCATCTACATACTGTTTTTCCTACTCTGCAGTGAATCTGAATTGAAGCTCAAAGGAAAACATATTATATTCTTCTAGTTCTTTTATTGTTCAGAAGCAACATTTGAGATGTATTTGTCTTGAGTTGACCTTTGCTTCTGATGCTCGCTCTTGACTCGAGCAGCGGCTCCTTTTTGAACACCTAATATCTGTTAGGCCACATATCATCGGCTCAGATGACTAGTCTTGTTGAGCACCTGCTAGTGTTGTCGAGCACCGACTATCTATGCCAACAACGAAGAAGCGTTGTCCGACCACACACTATGGCTAGAGATAGAAGAAGATGGAGAACAGAGCATACACATACAGTACAAGCACCAGCGTTGGCCGGAGCCCTGTATAGGAGATGACAAATCTGAATTCTATTTACTGAGTTGCAGTGACAAACTATTTATACAACTCTATCCTATCTAGTCCTAGTATAATTGTCATGCTGCTACAGTTACTAGATAACACAGCAGGACTGACTTCTACGCCTGTCTCTGCATGTGGCTACAGTGCGGCAGGTGAGTCGTTCGGCGCCTGCCTCTGCAGCGGCTACAGTATCACAACAGAGAGCCTTTTCGACATCGTCTTTCTCTGCTGTGTTTTTACATAAAAAATAGTATATTATCTAACAATATCAGGCCACTCATGAAGTATGGTACTGCAATACTATAATGTTCCATAAAGAAAAAGGGTGCAGCTCCCAAGATCGATCAGTGGCAGTGATTGATCCCTCTTCTGAGACCAATCACGTTGCTGCCACAAGGCATGTCCCGGACCTTGTGTAGATCGTAAGTTTTTCACTCTCTTTTTATTACATCAAATTTTTGACATATACATAGATTATTAAATATAGATAAAAAAAATAACTAATTACATAGTTTGATTGTAAATTACGAGACGAATCTTTTGAGTCTAGTTAGATCATGATTGAACAATAATTGTTAAATACAAACGAAAGTACTATAGTGTCAAATACTGATTCTTAACCCCAATCTAAATAAGGTCCTGGTTGCATTGTGGCCTTCTGTCTGTATGAAAGTCCAGGTGCAGAGAAACTGACTTGAGGAGTTATTTTAGAGAAAAGGCTCCTCACTTCTCCGGCATCAGGTCATCCATCACAATTCAGAATCTCCAAGCTATTAATTTTCCATTAGGTTGTGAATCATTGTATGCTTTTGCCAGTTCAGTTGTAGAACAGGGGTGGTGGGAGTAGTAGTTGCTGCGCACAAAGAAAAATATCCAAAAGATTCCATCCCGATATGCTGAATGTGGATTGTTCGTGCGCAAATGATTATCCTTTACTTTTTCTGTGGTGCTTAAGAATTTGTTACTCTTGCAGCTTTGGTTGTCTTAGTGCACCTGCTGTTTGGTGAGCTCCCTAAGCTGAGACATTGTACCTAGAGCCCTAGAGGGCTCGTTATAAGGTTATCAAGGGATGCCCTTCTTCTTTCTTTGTTTTTGAACTCACAGCCCAGCCCAGCCCCCCTGTTTTTATTGATAACAGCAATATATAAGAAACTAATTAAGCACTAAAGGCCTCTTTGGAGCACAGAAATTTCACACACAAAAAAAATGCAGGAAACGGAGAAAAAATCCCGCATTCCGGGGGGCCTAAATGTGATGGAAAGTTATGAAAGTAAAAGAAGCATGGGTATATATACTTGTTATTTAGGCTTAGCCAAGGCTTGAGATAGGCTAGAAAATCAATATATATATATATATATATGTCGTGTATACATAAAAGAAATGGATGCGTTGAGATGTAGCTAGAGGTTGTGTGTGACTAGGTGTGATAAAACCTAATGAGGCGTGACTAGCTCGAACGCTTGATCTAGAGGGAAATGGATGAGATCGAGCCTGTTGTTTAATCCCATTCCAGCCCAGTTATGTTTCATGTGATCATGTTTGACCTTTTGATGTTGTTTGTAGATGAGCTAGCTGGGTGATGGCCGGCCCCGGCCTTATCATCATGCGTCTTGTAACTTTACGCCATGTGAAACATGGTAGTATAGAATTAAATTAGAATCGTCCATGGGGATGGACCCGGGAAGCCGAATAGAAAATGCATGCATGATGCTGGGGTCTTGTTTATGTTGCAAATTTTTTTGTAATCTGGATACTGTAAGTACGTTTCGTTTTATTTGACAAACTTTGTCCGATCATGGACTAACTAGGCTCAAAAGATCCATCTCGTGATTTACAACCAAACTGTGTAATTAGTTATTTTTTTACCTACATTTAATGCTCCATGTATGCGTCCAAAATTTGATGTGATAAAAAGAGAGTAAAAAACTTAAAATTTGGAGGTGATCTAAACAAGGTCCTGGCCCGTTCGGTCTGGGCATTCTACCTCTTTATTAATTACTAATTAATTTGGGTGGGCAGCAGCTAGTAGCTCTAATAAGCCCTGCCCTGGCCTGCCCTTGGCTTGGCCTGTATAAAATGCCAGTGCCTGTATAACATGTAGAGGGCGCAGCTGGCATGTCGACGACGACGGTGACGCCGGAGCCGCCGCACGTCCTGGCCGTGGACGATAGCATCGTCGACCGTGCCGTCATCTCCAGGCTCCTGCGCAGCTCCAAATACCGAGGTGCATGCATGCTCTAGTCTGTACTGTAATTACTACCGCTACTTTACTAGAGTTTATGTATATCTCAATGCGACATTGTTATTTCTTCTTCTTCTTCTTCTCATATCTAGTAGTACGTATAAATTAAAAGCCTAGCCGCCCTTGCATTGCATTGGTCTGAAAAATAACAAAATCTTTTGTTCGGTTGCTGCTGCTGCAGTTACAACGGTGGACAGTGGCAAGAGAGCCTTGGAGGTTCTCAGCCTGGTATGTAAGCTCAAACTCATCATGCATCATAGCGGCAAGGCATCCCTGTTTGTTTGTATATATAAAGAGATGTTAATAAATAAATTAATTAATTGAAGCAGGATGGTGACAACGTGCACATGATCATCACGGATTACTGCATGCCGGAGATGAGCGGGTACGAGCTCCTGAAGCGGGTCAAGGAGTCGACCGAGCTGCGGGAGATCCCGGTGGTGCTCATGTCGTCGGAGAACTCGCCGGCGAGGATCCGGCGGTGCCTGGAGGAGGGCGCCGAGGAATTCCTCATCAAGCCGGTGAGGGCGTCGGATTTGTCGCGCCTCTGCGGCCGCCTCATCACCACCTTGCGCTAGCAGCTAGCTTCTTCAATTTGCCTTAATTAGCTTCCTCGAGCAGCCAGATGGAATGGAATTACTGATGATGGCTCCAAGCTACCAAGCCTACTACTAATCTATCTAGGGAACATATTTAGTGCAAACCAACTTCTCCATGTAAATCGTACAAACCAACTGCGGGGAAGAGGTGGGAGGGGGGATTTGCAAAAGTGTAATTACCTAATTACACTTTTGCAAATCCCCCCTCCCACCTCTCCTTCGCAGTTGGTTTACACGGTTTGCACGGAGAGGTTAGTTTACACTTGATACATTGCCATCTATCTATCCCATGCATACTGAGTTACTGACTGACCAATGCAACAACCAACCAACCAACCAACAGATGCATGCATGCAGATCATCAGGATTCATTTCATTCAGGGTTAGTTGATCCGGTCGAGCCTGTCTGGTTAATTAGTTAACAAAAAGCAGTACAGTACATTATATATAGGGCCGGTACTGTTGTTCGTGATGAGATTTGACTTTTGAGATAGAGTGCTGAATTTGAATTTGACCCTCCAAATTAAATTGGATGCAGGAGGAACAATGCAGTTGTGTACATTTCGTATAACTAACGACAGTGCAGTAGCATTTTACCGGATCGAGGCAGTTGTCATCTCTTTAATTCTGGTCGATCTTCTCGTGTCGATAGTAATCTGGGCTCAAGAAGAGAATAAATAAAAGAAGCGTCAACAGAATACCGTATATGCGTTCATGATTATGTAAGATCTTGGCCAATGGGCATTCATGTCTCCGATACCACGGTTCTATGCTTTTACTTTATATGTTTAAATTACGGTAATGCTCAGGAGCCGGCCTCCGGAGGCCGCTTTCCGGGCTCGCGCATACCGATCCAACAGGCCTGCCTACTCTCTACGTCTCTCCAATAGGCCAGCATACCTCTCAAAAATATCTTCCCATCGCTCTTGCCCATCGCGTGTTGTTCTGTCGTGCGCTCGCTGCTGCTGTCTTCCCCACCGCGCACCCCATCTCGCGCCACGCAGCTCCCCCATCCAGCGCCGCACTCCTTCCCGCACCACGCCCCCTCCATCGCCTCGCCGTGCCCCCGCTGCTACGCACCGCGCGTGCCAAGGTGCTGCCAACACCGTTGTTTCCCACCAGAAGGTTATGGCCGTTGCGATGCGCGACCTCAGTAAGGAGATGTTGCAATGAAAGCGCATGTTGCAAACATATGTTTCAAGTATCTCAGACTTTTTAGAGGTATGTTGCAATGTTTCATATGGATGTTGCAAAAGTAGATCGAGGATGTTGCACATTTTGCAAATGTTTCAGAGGCATGTTGGAAGTATTTCAAAGGTTTGTTTAAAATGTTTCATCTGTTCCAGACGTATGTTGCAAATGTTCTGATCTAGATGTTGCATATATTTCATAGATATGTTGCAACAATATGTTCCAAATGTTTCAGCTGTTTAAGTCTTATGTTACCTTAAGTGTTTTCATGGTGCAAGTATTTTATTTGGATGTTGCATATGTTTCATATATATGTTGCAACAATATGTTCCAAATGTTTCAGCTGTTTGAGTCTTATGTTGCAGTTAGTGTTTTCATGTTGCAAGTATTTTATCTGGATGTTGCATATGTTTCACACGTATGTTGCAAGTGTGTGTTCCAGATGTTTCATCTGTTGCATAAGTATGCTGCATTCAAGTGTTTCATGTTGCACATCTTTCATGTTGTTCGAAGAGTTAGGTGGCTCGGGAAGTGATGGTGGCACAGACCGGGCACCGGGGAATGGGGCGCAACGAGCTGGGGGTCGACGGACGGGGCGCGCGGTAAGCTCAGGGCCGATGGTCGCGGCGCGTTGGGGGGGCGAGGGCGGGGCGAATAACCTCGAATCGAGGCGGATATGGTGAGCTGCGAGTGCGAGACGGGTCCTCCAGACACGCCGGCACTGCGACGGGACGGGGTACACGTGCTGGGTGGGAAAAATCAGCGGCGAGGGCATCCGGCCGTGCGCGTCCGTCTGGACGTCTGGGCGCTAGCACCTCCGTTAAGATTAAGATCATGTGATCGTGATCTTACGTCTCATCTGATTTAGGGCCTATTTAGATCATAGCTCGATTATTATAATCTAGATTATATAGATGATTATTATAATAAGGATCATGATTGTGGATTATAATAATTAGCGTGTTTGAGTCCATGGAATATGATAATTGATTATGGTTGGTTAAAGTGAGAAATTCATGTCTTATCCTTGGGGCAAGTAAGACTTCTGGCACACATAATCCCTTATGACCTGGTCTCCACTGCATTATGGACTTATGATAATCAAAAATTCTGATTATAATTATCCACCATATAATCAATCGTGTTTAGACCAAAATTTGATTATATAATCTGATTATTATAATCAAAGGTTATCGAACTGGGCCTTATTATAATATGTGGTTTGACAACCTTGACGCCAATACTACTTATATATACCGGTGTAATTAAGATGCTCCCACATACAACCTCTTCATTGAGTCTTGTTACTTTTGACTTGTTTTCTAAACTCTCGTAGAATCAATAGAAATAAACAGGAAAATTTTCTAAACCAGTACATATTCTTGGATTTTCAGTTTGCTCAATATTTTTTTTGAAAATGGTAACCCCTTGCTGGATTATGTGTCGAAACAACCAACCCACTGCGCGTGATCATCAATTAGTTAGGGACCGCCTCTTTAATCTTTATCGAAGGTAGATACTCACATGAGTACATGCTTAACTGGTTAAAGCTCGTGTTCATCAATATCATCAATGTGATCTTTATTGAAGGTAGTACTATCGATGCGGGACCCACAGGATACCCCGCAAGGGAGAGAGAAGATCTAGTTCAACTAGGATTCTTCCCATGTAATCTTAGTAATAGAACTATTAAGTAATCATACTAGAAAATCTCATTGTAAATCGACTAGAACTCTGGCCTCCTGACTATATAAAGGAGGGCAGGGCTCCTGAGAGAGGAGGACAATTGTACAACATAACACTTCATAATCAATCCAACGCAAAGGCCAACGCCGACTGGACGTAGGTCGTTACTCGATCTCACGATCGATGGCCCGAACCAGATAAATCGATCGTCTCTTGCGTTTATCATCGAAGTTCAAGATACTCTGGAAGCTTCGAACATATCGCCTCGGTACCCCATGGCGCTATCGGTGGTGAAACATCGACAATGGCCGCGCCCGTAGGGGCTTTCGGCGACTTTGCATCCGAGAGCTCGATGGACCTCGATAACATGATCTTCCCAACGTGATTAACTTTCATCTTGGCTCATGGATCATGAGGCGGACAACTACTGGCGAAGCTTCAAAGCCACCTCCTCAAAGATCCGGATCATCATGAAGAATTTCCTATTTCGACAACTACGACGGATCAGCTCACCGTAAGATCCGCGCAGCTCATAATACCCGATTCAATAAGATTTTCACGGCTACGCGCATCCGACTCAATTCAAGCTCCGTGTCCGAGATGAACTCTTATTCGAGTGCTTTCAAGAAACCGAGTTCTTTTTGGCGAGATTCCAGAGCACAACCCAAAACAACTCGGATTATCCTCGAGTTCTTTCAAAAGGTCGAGTTCTTTTCCATTTGGGCTTGACAACACGACAAAATCCTATCGTGACGCTTCAAAGGTCTTTCAATCCAATGCTTGGGATACCACCGATAGGAGCTCAGAGGGTCTCGTGCTAACGATAACATCGTAAGATCAGATCATCCATCGCCGTGTTCCGCTCTCGAAGATAGCGGAACCCAACTAGTTGGCACAACAACAAAAGCTATTCTACCTTACCAAGAAGGAGACTCGATCTGCGACATCGAGGCACCCATCAAGTCATCAAGAAACTCCGACGATGAAAACTAACACCAATAACGGAACGGCTCACGCACGGGAGGTGCTCATGGTTCGACGTCCTCGGTCACCATTAAATCCCCCAGAAGCACCCGATGTCAGGTCATCAGATGAATCAGAGTCCAACATATCACCCTTTGCCCAGGGCTATGATGGAGAAACTGAGAGTTAGAGACAGGCTAGAGAAAGGAAAAACAAGTTAAAACAAGGGCGCCAACACTGCGCTAGGCGGCGTAGAGAAGCCTGGACCAGATACGAGTCAGAGTTGGCTGAATACGATAAAAGAAAATCACAACAAGAAGCCGAAGAAAGACGCACGGTGAATACGTCTTACGATAAGATTCGAGAAGCATTAGAAGAACTCAGGGCAACTTCACATTACGGAGAAAAGTACGAACAGCTCCAGGATTTGCTCCAGTCGATGATCCCAAGAACGCATGAAGAGAGAGCCCGATCGAGACTACCCGCCAGATCAACAACCCGCAAATAAGAAGATCAAAATCAAAGGAAGTCCGTTTTTGAAAGACTTGGGCCAGGTGGAAGCCATAATGGAGAAAGTAGGAAGGAACATAGTCGGGGCCACCAATTTGAACAATCAAGGAAGACCAGGAGTAGCGTGCCTACCCAGACAGCCTCGCAGACTTATTCCCATCAAAACAACACTTGGCCAGAAGAAGGAGCCGAATCCGAATTCAAAGAAGCCGGAACGCACGATAGATTCCCCTGTTTTGCAAATAGGTTGGCATCAGTATGATTACCTCACAAATTCAAATCGTCTAACCACTCCAAGTATGATGGCAAAACCGAACCAAGACAATGGCTCAGAATATATTCACAATCAATTGAACTAGCCGGAGGAGACGATGATATCAAAACCTTGTTCTTTCCCATGGCACTGGAAGCGATGCCCCTCCAATGGTTCGATAAATTGAACCCAGGGTCGATCAGAACTTGGGAAGACTTGCAAAGATCTTTCTGTGAAAATTTCGCGGGTATCATCACACACCCGATCACTTATGCAGAACTGAAAGGACTCAAGCAAAAGAGGGGCGAAAGTCTCAGAAATTACTATCGACGATTCGACGAACTGCGGGCTCAAGTGCATGACATCACCGAACAAG